TAATGAATTGAATTCTTAGACTAAAAAAAAGACATTGAGCACTAGCAACACAGGCTATCGGCTCTAATTTAAATAAATGGATATTAGATAATAAGCTTACTAGTATTAATAAAGTAAAATATTGAATTGATATTCTGTTCTGAAGCTGATTGTAGAATGTTCAAAGGGTTAATCGTTCCAAATGCAATACTTCTAGCCAAGGAAAAGTTGAGGCAGTCACAGAGAATGTGCTTTATAGTAAGAGTTTGTCCACAACAGCAGATTGGGGGAGAAGACTTCTTCAGGATCCATTGGTGAGTTGCAATTGTATGACCAAGGCGAATTCTCGAAAATGTTTGGATCTTGGTTTTCTCAACATTTGTTGGATATAGAGGTGGAGTTAATTGAGGGTTAATGCAAGAGTAGTGTTGATGATGGTATTGTAAATTTCCCTCTGCAATTTTCTCTTTAACTTTTCTTCCAGTGTATCTTTGAAGATCCAACTTTTCCATGATATCATCCATAATTAGAGGAGCAGAAGCAGCATACTTTGCCGCTCGATCAGCCTGCTCATTTCCCAGTAAACCGATGTGACTTGTTACCCATAACATTTTAATTTTTCCGTCGGGTGTAGTAATTATATTCCTTAATTTGTTGATGGTGCTCCATCTCGAAGTCGAAGGGTTCCGGGTAGCTTGTAATACAGACAAACTGTCAGTAACAATGACGGTTTTGAGTTTGTTTTTATGGGCAAGGTTGGCAGCGTGAAGGATAGCTCTGGCTTCGGTTATGAAAGTTGAAGTGCTTTCGTGAAATATGTGGTTGAGAAGAACCCGTCCTGTAGCATCTACCACCGCACAAGCAGGAGGCAGACCAGGAGATTTTGAGCCGTCTATGTACAAAAGATTCCAACCAGTATTGTCCAATACTTGGGTTTTCTCAGCTATTAGATTCCTGAAGACGTAATTTGGGGTATCTTCTTTCTTGTGCATAGACAGTGAGATGTCAAAAGAGCAGTCTTTCAAAATCCAGGGAGATTTAACACCAAAAGAGCGGGAAATTTTTAAGGGAATGTTCAATTCCTTTGCGATGCACAAACAACGGTCAATTGCAGATGGTGACTTTGGAATTTTCTTCGCAATAATAATCTTTCTTACGTCATCACCGAGAATGGATTTGTTTGAATTAAGAAACTTAGGGGCTATTTTAGCTTTTAACTCATACAGTCTATTTTCTAAAGTTGGGAGACCAGTTTCAATTACAATATTATTTATGGGCGTCGTCCGAAAAGCATAACAACTTGCTCTAACGGCTTGGTGATAGACCGGTTTAAGGATGTTGATATTAGATTTGCAGCTATTGCCATAAATTATCAAAGCATAGTCAATCTTGCTTAACACAAGCATTTTGGTAAGATAAGCGATAGTGTTAATATGCGCATGGCTTCTCCAAGCAACGTACTGTATGAAATTTACCCTTGTTAAAAGGGAGTTTTTTAACCGAAGGCAGCGTGCTTTCCAACGATAATTGTTTGACAACGTGAGCCCGAGAACATGGAGCGTCTGCATATTTAGTACTGGTAAGTCGTTAATATGCATCAGTAGGTTTCCTGCATCGCACATTTGTTTTCGACAAATATGCATTTTTTTTGATTTTTGTATAGAGATTATAGCTCCTGACGAGTTTGCCCATGTGAAGATCTCACATGCAATAGATTCCAGGATGATTGCTTTCGTGTTGTCTTTTTCTTTTGTAAAAATGTATACATCGTCCGCGTAGAGATAATGTTCCACTCTTGGTACACGGCAAAGAATTTCGCTAATTTCGTTGAAAGCGATCTGGAAAAGCGTGACAGAGAGAGGAGATCCTTGCGGAATGCCATTCTTTAACGGAAAGGAATCAGAAAGATGATTGTTGATTCTAACTTTGAACCGCCGATGCGACATGAATGATTTGATGTAGTTGAAGAATTTGGGTCCAACATTCCATGATTTCAAGAGTCTTAAGATAACATGAAGACCAACTCTGTCAACTGCTTTTTCGAAATCAATTGAGAGAATTGTTACGTGATTTCGTTCGGAAATTGCTTTGCTTGTGAAATAATCAATATGTAACAGAGCGTCGATGCATCCTCTACCCCGCTTGAAACCAACTTGTTGCTTTGTTATCAGGTTCTTGGATTCAAGAAACCAAGATAATCTAGATGCCATAATCTTCTCTAAAGCCTTAGAGAGGCAAGATAAAAGAGAAATTGGGCGATAATCAGATGCGATGGAGACATTTTTTGACTTTGGAATTGGAACAACTGTTGCCAGTTTCCACATGTAGGGTATATGGCCATTCATAAATACCGTATTATATAGGTCCAGTAATTTCTTTTTACTAGACTTAGGCATAGCACTGATCATTTGGTATGAGATGCGGTCTAGACCAGGTGTCTTCCCCTTCAAATTGGAGAGACAACGTCCAAGTTCTGAGGTGGATACGCAATTTTCCAGGAACATGGCACATCTATCGATATTATTTGAAGGAGATATTGGAGTCCTTTTATTTTCAATGAAAGGACTGGAGAAGTTGCTGTCAGAGGAGTATTCGCACCACACTTTTCCAAAGTAATTAGAAATCTCATCTCGGTCAGTTAAAGTTCCATTGGGAGTGCAGATGGCAGAAATTTGGTTCAGGTTTGAAGTCCCATTAAGTCTGTTGATTTTGTTCCAGACAACTTTCATTGATGTATTTCTGTGAATTCGTCTCGAGAAAAGTTCGAAACTAAGTGCCTTTGATTTCCGTAATTGCTTCCTGAATAGAGCATTGGCCTTTTTGTATAATAACAAGTGATTCTGATCAGGACATCTCTTAAAGCAGTGCCATAGATCCATTTTATTTTTCCTCAAAAACGAAAGCGTGTTGTTCCACCATGGAACCCTAGCTCGTTTAGAAGAGGTGTTGGATTGAGGAATAGAAAAATGAGCAGCCGTGCGAATCGCTTTAGACATAATAGCAGCATCATGGTTGCAGTTTCCGTTAAATGGCTTTGAGTTCAAAAATGACTCCACCTGTTTGGAGTAATTGATCCAATCCGCTTTATCTAGGAGGAATTTGGCCTGTTTTGCTGGAGTAGCAGAGGACGTTGAAAGTTTAAGATCGATTATGATTGGAAAGTGATCACTATTATGTAGATCATCAGAAATAGACCAGGACACCAAAGGAAGAAGTGATGGAGAGCAACATGTTAAATCAATATGTGAAAAAGTATGAGTTGAGAAGTGCGTTGGTTTTCCATCATTTAAAACGCAAAGGTTGCTTTGAAAAAAGGCCTTTTCTAAAACAGTACCGCGAGTGTTCTTCACTGTTGAGCCCCAGATGGTATTCCAGCTGTTGAAATCGTCGCAAATAATTAATGTGGGGGAAAGTACGGAGAATAAACTGTAGAGTTCTTGCTGAGAAAACGATTGCGAAGGTGGAATATCGAGCGAAAGCACTGTAAATTTTATATTTAACATTATTTGTATCGCTACGGCTTGTATATTTGAGCTTAAATTTATGCGTTTGTGAGGTATACTTGATTTTATAAAAACACCTACTCTTTGTTTGGAATATGAATTTTGATCAGCATTCGTGAAGTATCCAGTATATGATTTGGGTGGAATAGGATTAAAAGAGCTTCTACAATGGGTTTCTTGAAGCGATAAAAAGGTTGGATTAAAATCACTTATGAGTGTACGGAGTTCATCAAAATTATTAATAAGTCCCTTAATGTTCCATTGTAGAATTTTAAAAACTTTATTTAATTGTAATGACATGTAAGCAGAGTGGAGTTGACATGGGAGGGTTAAGTTGACATGTCAGCGTCTCCGTCGAGAAGGTCGCTATAGGAATTTTTCGTGAATGACTTATTCTTACCAGCAGAATAATCTGTATTTAGGTGATTTGGTACATTTGAAGCGCAACGGGTTGGCGCACGTGAATAATTTGAAATTGAAGGTTGATTAATGGATGTAAGAATGGATTCATTAACACTTGTGATTTGTTGAGTAAAGTTGAGAGCTGGAGATTCTGGAGAATTTGGTATATTAGATTTTAGCAAATGTGTTGTTGTTTTAATATTTTCAATATTTGCAGTTGCTTTGGTTTTCGAAGGTTGATTAATGGATGAAAGAATGGATTCATTACCACTTGTGATATGTTGAGTAAAGTTGACAGCTGGAGATTCTGGAGAATTTGGTATATTAGATTTTAGCATATGTGTTGTTGTTTGGATTTTTTCAATATTTGCAGTTGCTTTGGTTTTTCCAATATTATCTTTGGCAAGTGATGTAACTGGTTTCGCAATATAATTTTTGGTTAATGGTGGAACAGGTTTTCCATTGGAAGCAGTTGCAGTTAAAGTCTTACTAGGCTCGATTTGCGAGGCAACAGCAGCATAGGTATTACTTTTGCCAATTCCATGGGCTACAGATGGATTTCTTTGCCGGTATGTGCGTCGCGCTTCGCCCATGCTACAGTAATTTTCTTTTTTGATTTTTAATATTTCACGCATCTGTACAAAACGTGGGCATTGTTTGTCTAACGCTGAGTGTTGATCATTGCAATTTATGCAGAAACTACGGGTATAGCTTTCAGTATGTGGAGGATGACCACAGTTAGCACAAGATGCAGCATTAGTGCATCTTTTTGCCGTATGACCCAGGCGTTGGCAATTTTTACACCTCATAGGATTTGGGATGTATAGTTCTACTTTACATTTATACCACGCCACATCAACTGTTCGCGGTAATCGATAGCGATCAAAAATTAAAATAATCCTTCCTGTAGGAGAGCGTGTTTTTCCATCATCATTCAGTTTGGTTAATTTATATGCTTCAGTCACTCCTTGAATGCACATTTCGCGAACAATTTCATCTTCCGGCTAATATAAAATACTCGGTAATGTCTACAAATTTTTTATTTATTTTTTATCCTTATATTTTTCCAAGTATTTTTTTTCTTTACTTGTTTTTTTTTTGGTTTTTTGTTATTTTTTATTTACTAAAAAAACTGTACAAAATAAGTACACCCAAGAATAAAAAAAAGAGAAAATCCTTATAAGTTTCTCCTTCACCAAGAAAAACTTTCTTAATTACCACAATTGATACAATAATTACCATAATCGCATCCAGGGAATTAAATACAAACCAATTTAGTTCGATTGCATACGAATGTAGAGTTTCAGAGGTGCTTTTATACTTCAATAAATGTTCCACCCACCAAACAGCAGTGTCTATAGGTTTATTTTCACGATGGCGAAACATCTCGGAGAACTCCTTGGCTCGGTGCTCGTATCTTGCCATAAAAAAAAGGAGAAATTGTACACAAACTATAATATTTTTTGAATTAATCTCCTATACCCTGATCTCGTCAAATTTTTGAAGGCCGCATATAAGCTATACTCACTGGAACGCATATCGAGATAGCCTAAGACATAGCCTATCCTACGATTTTTAACGGCATAAGAGTTAACGAATTGATCTCCATAAATGGGAGTTATAAGCATAGGTTTGCCACAATACAGAGCCTCGGTAATACCTAAAAGGCCACCATGGCCCCAAAAATACTTAACTTTGGGATGACCTGTATTTTTACGTTTGTTAGTAATATCTAACCACTAATTATTACTTAATCTGACAAACTTACATAGCAATTGTAATTGTGGAGCCCACTTTATAAATAAAAATTTCTCACTTTCCGTTGGTATTTTGTCACTCTCCCATTTCCATATTACTTTCACATCAAATCGGAGCAGCACAGCTACAATGCGTTTTATTAGATTATTAGGCATAGTAGAAAATTTGATCATTGATCCCCAACTAATGAAAAGTACGCCTTGATCGGCATTCTCTAAGAAAGTTTTAATGTTTTTCGGTAGTTCGCGGTCATTTATAGAACTTTCGTTGATGTGTATCCCTCCAACTTCAATAAATTGTTGATTACTTGGTCGAATACCCATAAGTGAGTAATGCTGATTGCCAAACACGATACGTGTTTGCCGTTTCGCTATACTATTCACATCAGGAAATAACCATTTAAAATAAGAGTTGATAAGCATATTATCACAATGATTGGTATAAAAGCTGCAACAATTATGAAATGAAAACAATATGCTTAACTTACGATGTTTAAGAAATTCTTTACCGATAAAGCAGAGCTAATAACTTGGCTTGCAAAAAATTTTCTATTCTTTGATACCATTCTAAAGGCTCTGGATATCCAATGAACTCTGATTGTATGTACGAAGGTGTGTCGGGCATTAAAAGACGTTCATAGTACCAAGGCATTAGCAGGCAAGAACTAAAGCCTACTATCGGCAAATTCATAAGATGTGGTAATACTAATTGGCAATCACTGTTAAAGTATTCGGTTATCACCAAATCATATGGTTGAATTAAATGTTGATCTAGTGCTCTTTGAACAAAACCACTCTCGTACAGCTTTTTGCAGCTACTTTGACCTTCTCTATGTAATAAGAGGTATTCTTTAAGTAAATTACCCCAGGATCGTGAAGGCCACGTGCCACTCAAAGAGACGATTTCTTTTACTTGTTCATTTTTTAATAGCCATTCTTCGTAAAACTCCGGTGAATTAGGACTGTGAATATAGGTGATTACCGTAACGTTATGGCCTCTTTCCGCCAAAGCGTGTAAAAGCGGATAATAAACTTTGAAATGACTATAACCGAAATGTGGAAAAACACCTAATATCCTCTTGGCTACACATAAGGTTGTAATTTGTTGTATTACAAGCCAAACTCTGAGGTTTATTTCCATTGCTTTCTTACTAACGCACTATTAGATGCAAACTGTTTTACTTTTAACTTATCTAAACTTCGGTCATTGCAAAGGATAAAGTATGCTAGATTTGTCTTTCCATTTGTAGCACTCAGATATAATTACATGATTACATATCCTATAAAATACTTCAGCCTTGAGAAGTGTATATTAAAATATACTTAGTAATAATAATAAATTAAGTCGGCTTTTAAACTCTCATGCTTCCAAGATATGCGAAAGAAATCTGAAACATTCAATTGCAGTCCCTATAGTCAAAAATAATTATTTTAAAATGCCGGATACGTTACCTGAAAGTTTTCATAGGTGATGACGTCTTGACTTAGGTTTACTAACTTGGCCTGTAAAGCATTCCTACTAATTTTAATTAATTGCAATAAAGCGTTGCTTCTTGTCCAAGTTGAGAAAATCCATCCGTTAGGAGCGTAAATTAGTACTAATATTTATTGTTATTTATTACCGATGCGCCTGAGTGGCCGAAGGCGACGAACCTAGACTAACAACTCAATGGTCTTGGGTTCGAATCTCAAGTACGGTAGAGTTTTTAATAGAAGCCGATAGCCTTTAGATGCTAGTGCTTTAAGAGTTTAGTCTCAGAATTTATTTCTCTGGCGAAATTAATAATAATAATAATATTTATTATTAGTTACATATTATTGCACGTCACTGTATTAAGTAGTTGACACAATGGGGCCGCGCTTATAATCCCAGTCATGTGGGAGAAGTTAATTTATTACTTTTATAAATTTTATTACTTTGTAATTTATAAATTATATTATACATTTATGTATATAAATATAAATTAACTGTTGTAAATCTGTAAGTTAATTACTCCCCAGGTAAGCGCGGCATCTTTTCGTTCACCAACTTAGGTCAAATTTTGGAATTGCTATTTTTCTTAGGTTTGCGTTGTATTCACCCATAATATAATAACCAACCGCGTTTGGCAACACTGAAAAGGCGCCAAAAACAGCGTATGGGTTCTCATTTGTGTGCGAGATATTTCTCAAAGGCATAAAAATTTACATTCAACATACAACAACTTATTCTAAGAAACAAAAGTAGATTGTGTATAAATAAAAGATTTACAAAATGTTTGAGGCACGTTTAATGAACGCTACTATCCTAAAAAAAATCTTAGATGCCGTCAAAGATCTGTTGAACGAAGGAACGTTTGATTGCAGCGACTCGGGAATTCAAGTAAGTGTTGTAAGACGAATTCTGGGAACATGATTTCACATTTGCACGTTTGGTTATGTATCCGCAGTTGCAAGCTATGGATAATTCTCACGTTTCTTTGGTTTCATTGACACTGCGCTCAGATAGCTTTGACAAATTCCGTTGCGATCGTAATCTTTCAATGGGCATGAATTTGGGTACTATGGCGAAAATATTAAAATGTGCCAATAATGATGATACTGTTACTATTAAAGCCCAGGATAACGCTGACACTGTAACCTTTATGTTTGAATCGCAGAATCACGAAAAAGTATCAGATTATGAGATGAAATTAATGAATTTAGATCAAGAGCATTTGGGAATACCGGATACAGATTACTCATGCGTTGTACGAATGCCTTCTATGGAGTTTGCGCGAATATGTCGCGATTTGGCACAATTCAGCGAAAGTATGGTTATTTGTTGCACAAAGGAAGGCGTTAAATTCTCTGCTTCTGGGGATTTGGGATCGGCAAACGTTAAATTGGCTCAAACTTCAAATGTTGATAAGGAAGAAGAAGCGGTAATAATTGAAATGCAAGAGCCGGTTACGTTAACCTTCGCATGCCGCTATCTAAATGCTTTCACTAAGGCAACACCACTCTGTAATCAAGTCCAATTATCTATGTCCGCCGATGTACCGCTGGTAGTGGAATATCGCATATCCGATTTGGGACATATACGTTATTATTTGGCTCCGAAAATTGAAGAAGATGAAAGTTAAAACGTGCTTAGAATGCGTTTTTTCTACTATTTCAATACTTCTATAGGTTTTTTTTAGAAGACTCTTTGCTCTTGATGTAATGTAAGCGTAATTTCTTGTATTCTTTTTTCTACGGGAATATATTTTTAAAAGAAATGTTCTTAATTTAAATAAAGAAAAATCAAATTTAAAAGTGATATTTGGCTAATCTAAGTCTTTCGAATTACATTTGCTTAACTCTTGCATAAATTCTGAATAAACTTGACTAAAATCCTTCCTCTACCGCTTAAGATTCTCCTTTTTTCTATTCTTCTTTTCTTTTTTTATCTATTTCCAAAAACGACCTTACGGGAATTAACTGAAAGCACATAAGCGAAATTTAAACTTCATTCAATTACCGTTCTTACCCCAACTTTGGTACAATATGAGAAAATGCAAAAATGTTGACAGAAGCTGGCATCCAATTAACATCGACTACTATTTATTAGATCATTAGTTGCGTAAATCTACGATTATACTTGGAAAAAACTCATCAAATATATAAGCCCTAGAGAACGAACTTTTTATCTAGTTCGATGGTTCAATAATTTATAAGTGTCATTGCTTAGAGGTCGTTGATATTGCAAACAAATGCTTTGGAGGTTTTACAAAATGTTAACAAGCATATTTATTTTTTTATAGTATTTGCGATTATTCAATTATGTAGTTAGGATGAACCACCAACAAAGGATCATCTTCTTCTTCCTCTTCAGTAGATCTAGGACTTCTTCCCGGTTGTCTTAGTTCAGTGGTCTTCAAAGGTATTATTAACTGGTCATGATAGATTAATCGATCCAATACTTTTTCAATAAGCGTTTTACGCGATATTAATTCATCTTCCGATTCAATTTGATCAGCTACTTGTTCCAAATACCATGTGATAACATCACTGCGTTTCATGCCAGTATCACTGCCCTCGGTTTCACACCGGGCTTCTTCATTACGCATTTGTAGTACTAACATTGTCGAAAGGTTTTTGTAATCTTCGAAAGACAAAGTCAACTTTTTTTTTAGTCCGCTTTGCTCTTGATGATTAAAATCGAAATTTTCTTGATTATTCTCTCCATTAATTTCTCTCATTTCTATATCGCCCGCAAATGTTTCTTCTTCCTCCTCCTCCAAATGAATATCCGGTTGTTCGATTCGTATTATAGATTTGTTTAGTAAACGAAAAGCTTCTCTAACATGACGTTCCTGCACCTCGTTCATGCATTCTAATTTGGCCATAGCTTCACTTAAACGTATCATGGATTCTAACTGGCGCACGGTAATGCGCCAAGTGCTGCGACCGGCAGTTCCAGTGTCACGCTGTCTTAAATGCCCATAATTTTCCACCAAGAGCTTCGATGCTTCTGGACTTATAAAAGGTTTGAACTGACGAGCGAATGTTACATAGCGTAAAACTTCTTCTCGCGAATAAATTCTTTCCATAGCGTCTTCTATGTTAGAATGTAGGTCAACTATTTTACGAGCTATAGCATAATCCACCACTTCGTTACACTCATCTACAAGTACGAAAAACAAGTCGAAACGCGACATAATGGGAGCTGAAAGTTGTATGTTTTGTTGTAAGCTTTTGGAGCGATCGTAACGTCCATTAATTGGATTAGCGGCTGCCAATATTGAAGTACGCGCGTTTAGTGTTGCTCTGACCCCTGCTTTAGCTAAAGAGATAGTCTGCTGTTCCATAGCTTCATGAATAGCTACCTGGTCACGAGGGTCCATTTTATCGAATTCATCAATACAACATATGCCGTTGTCCGCTAACATCAGAGCACCTGCTTCAATAACAAAATCAAAACTTTCTTCATCTCGTACTACCGCCGCCGTTAACTGAAAGCACATGAGCGATATATTAACTTCCTTTGATTTAAAATTTGCTGCACTGCAAACTTACCCCAGCAGCAGAAGAAGCTTTACCTGACGTGTAGACAGCTCGAGGTGAAAAGTCTGCCACTTGTTTAAGAAATTGAGACTTAGCAGTGCTAGGATCGCCAACTATGCAAACGTTTATATCACCGCGAAGGGAAGTTCCTAGGAAAAGAGGACAATCGAAATCAGGAAAAGGAAATTAAATGTTTTACTTACTTTCGTGGGTAGTTTTAGCAACGCCACCAAAAAGTTGCAATAATATGCCTCTTTTCACTTCATCATTTCCATAAATTGAAGGAAACAAACAATTAATAAGATTGTAGTAAAGGTTGCGATCTTTGGACATTTCATAAACTTTATTCCACTCAGCGTCTGTCATTTGTTTCTTCATATCTTCAGCTGTTACTTCTGACATAGGCAGAGTCATGCCCCCGAAACGGGCTGTGGTGGCTTGAACGCTACAAGCGAGAAAAGCCATACGGTAGTTAAGCTCACGCATACCTAAAGCCTTAAGCCCAGTTAAACCTTCTGGTGCTTCCCCAGGCTTATGACGGGACCCGTAATCTGCCTTTGCTCCTGGCATATTGAGAACACCAACATCAGGCACTACAATTAAAGTACCCGTGAAATCATAACGGTCACCTGCCTGAACAGTCTCCACAATCTCAGAACGTAAGATTATCTCCACAGAACGCGGAATACAACCGCGTGGTAATTCAGATTGCGTCTCTTGAATACGCACTTTTTGAAAATCAACGAAGAGACTTTTTTCAACATCTAACATGAAACGTCGGCGATTAGAACACACCGGATTACGGCAAATAGAGGGATTTGTAAATTTGAATTGTTGTTCTACATTGCGTATTTCCGTTTGACAATCCAAACACATAAAAGTACCCAAAACTAATTCCGGATGTACCGGATGTGTACGTACAACTTGCCCAGAAATGCGAATTAGGGTACCTATCTTGGAAGTGATTAAATCGCGCACTTTATGGCGTGTAGGCACTTCCGTAAAGGACACGTAGCACTCTTTGTCTGCTTTCAAACCAATACGATCTTTGATAAAATTTAAAACTGACTGACAAAGATAGGGGTAAATCCTGTAGAAAGATATTAGGCTCACAAGTTAAAAGCTACTTGTAACATATGTATATCATATACCGATAATATTCCTCTATTATAGTTGTAGCTAAGTTTTGATTATATTTTTCTACATCATCAAAGCTGACTTCTAAAGTGCAACGATCGGGCAGCTCCAAATCTGCAGCGGGTTTTATATATTTTATTTCTCCTTCTTCTTTGAATCTGTAAAAAATATTTTTAATAACAAATCATAAGCTTGTATGCGGTGATCTACTCTTCCAAAAAGTCTTGAAATAATTTTTGACAACGTATTCCCACTTCATCTTTAGCACGCAATTGACCAATTTGCGCATCAGCCACATCCATATTTAAAAAATTATTTTTACTAACTTTTTATAAAATGTATATTTCTCGATGTAGTCAATCCAAGCTACTCTAAGTAGCTATAACAGAAATGCGCGCCAAATTTGACAGAGTTGCAATTCATATTGCATGAAATGGAACGAAATTTGAAGATATATGCACATTTGCAGACTTTTTTAAAAGTCAATGGAGAAAATTATACAGAAATCCGTAGTGGTTTTGTTTAAAATTGTTTTTAGCTGTAAAGTTACTTGTAAACAGCGAAACTTATATTCAGAGAAGCGTAATTCATTTTCGTTGTGTCATAATGAAGTCTCGCTTATATTCCCACTTCAGGGAAACAATCCAAGGCCGCAAGTAGGTACAAAATAATGAGGCGTTTTTTCGTTTGTCGGGTTAAAAAATCCCAAGTGGAATTATATTTAATCATCAATTAATTATTAATTATATATTTGTCATTTTATTTACTTTGTAGTGTTATATTTCTTTAGGTACTTTCTGCTTTCACGTTATAAAAAAGTGGAGATCATGTGTAGCTTTTAACATAGCTATGGGCACATTTTTATTGGACTCCATTGCATAACCCAATTTCTCTGTTTTTATTGTAAACAATGTAAGTCACCTTACCATATTACTTTGCAAGAAAAAGTACGGAAATTGATATAAATGCAAATAGACCCATATGGCTTGAATAGTAAAAATGAAGACATTAACATAAGCAACAAATACATCAAAAGCACCGGTAAATGAATTAACACAAAAGCAAAGTAAACGAAAGAGAACTGAGAGTAATTGGAAATAAATCGAGTTTATTGCTTGTTTTTCACTCATTATAAAATAATATAAAATACAGTAAAATTTCAAACCATTTAAACTAGAATACAATAAACCTAAATCAGCTTTTTCTTTTTGGGTGTTGAGTTAAGATGGACCAAGATAAGTAAATATAAACTAGTTAATATCTAACTTTAGAATAAATTATGTTAGATTGAAATATTATATTTAATATCAAAGTTAAAATAAGTAGTTTATACAAAGATAGTAGAGATAACATTACTACGGATTGAAAGGAGAAGTAAACAATCTATCTTCGAATTCTGGCAAATTAAAGGAGAAGTAACCAATCTATCTTCTTCATCTATCTTTAAACAATTCTAGTTATTAATCTCTAATAGTTGCGCCTACCTCCAAAGTGATATAAGCCAAAAATAAAAATGTACTTTAGTGTATGAGATATTATTCGCATGCCTAAAAAAAAGCGCGGCTTGATTGAGTTTATTGTGTGCTAACCTAATAATTCATTGGGAACATTTGCATATTTTTATTATAAAACCAGCTGATCATTCCTCAAGTCAGCTGCGATTATTAAATAGGGAGTCTTACGTATGGGCAAATTTTGGAAAAATATTGTTTTAATTAGATTAAAACGGAAATAAGTAACAAAAAATCAATGATTATGTAAAGCGTCTTAAAAGTAAGCATGTCTAATGATCATTATGGATGTTTAAATGATTCAACAATGGCAGCCATAAATAGCGCATCGTCCTCGAATCCTTGCATTTCTACACGCTGGTTGACAGAAGAGGTATTTGCTTTAATAGACTTAGTACAACGCAATGAAGCGATTTACAATCCTAGACATAAATATTACTTTTGTCGGCCGTATGTAGAAAATTTTTGGCGTGAAGTCGATTTGAAATTGGAAAAAAATCGTAAGTTATAAATAAAAATTATTAACAATCAAATATTTTGGTTAAAGTGCTTGAACACAACTTAAGTCGGCGCTAGTTTGGCCAAGTGGACCAACTTACGTATTTCTTTCCGACGTGAGTATACTAATTATTTAGAGGAGAAGGTGCCACCTTGCTGGACTTATTTCGACCGCATGTTTTTTTTGCATCCGTATTTAAGGAAGTAAGTACAATTTTCAATTGCGCACAACAAGAAAAATATTTTTGCTTTCCTCCTAAAGAAAGCATCAACAATCAAAGTCGCTCGATTCTCAAGATACTTTGGTTCAGATCAATACTTTGTCAGATCGATTACAACGTGAAAGAGCTGCTGCAGCTGCTTCTTTGTCTAATGGTAGTGCTTCGGGAGATCAAAATGTTAATTCTCCTCGTTCTAATGTACCATCCAATCAAGTGGATAGTTATTTAGAATATTTAGATGAAGCCGAACCGAACGCTTCAGAATTGGATGATATGACAGATGATGAACCAATTAATGTGAGATCGTACGCTCACGATATCAAATCGGAGTGCGAAGATAACGTTGATGATTTTGATCCCGATAGTCGACAGCACATCGATGACGAACAGGAAGTAGAAAACGATGATCACGATATGCGAAACTTACTTATGTTACACACCGTGGGAAAACAGTACCAACAGCAACAGCGATTACAGCATTTGCAACGTCTGCAAAGTAGGACTTTTTATGAGGATTTTCGTAACAAACGAGCTAAATCACATGATAATGTAACAAACCCTCCGCTAACTACGACCCACAGCTCAGCTTCTACATCTTTGTCTTCAAATGCCGCTTCAAGCCACACCACAAACGTATCAAACGTATCTTTTGTTAGACCTACATTTAGCAAAGCTTCGGAAAACGTGAATGCAAGTGCACACAATACTTCAAATCTCAATAACAATGCGAATTCTAACGCATCTAATGAGCCAGAATCAATACCAAGTTCCACAACGGCACGTCCTAATTCCCTACACTACCACAGTTACGGTCCACACAATCAATATCAACACCATCATCATACTCGTTTCGAGATGGCCGGTATAAGCAATACTTCTAATGGTACAGGAAACACTACAGCGTCTAACGCGAATTTGTCAGTGACACCAGAATTATGCGACTGCAAAACTGATCCCGATGCTATGTTTTTGATGAGTCTGCTACCAGATATTCAGAAGTTAAATGGACGTGATCGTGGAAAAATCAAAATTGCTTTCCAAAATATCTTGCAAGATTATTTATATCCAGACTAATAATAGCCTGTAGTAGACCTAAGTGATTGCAATGTATACAATAATATTAGGATACCGGAAAGTAGAACAAGAAAGTAATGTTTTCTTTAATTCGTTACGGAGCATTTTTTACATTAAGAGTTTTGTGTAAATCTTTGAAAGACATTTCAGAATATAGTGCGAAAATATGCAATGCGGTTGTACTATGTTTTGATGCGTGTGTGGAAGGAGAAATTCCGCTAGAGACCCATTTTTATGAAGACCATAAAAATGAATTGCCTCGATTTAGAAACTGAGGAGAATGTTTTGTCTTTTACAATAATTTAAATAAGGTTCGGACGGCGAAAATTTTTAAAGAATCTGATATATATAAATATCTTGCAAGGAATAGCTGGATGGTCGGCTTGCTACACCCTTTGCACCTTATAATGTGGAAAATTATCAACAAAAATTTGCTAATTTTATAGAATGTGTAGCAAAATGATTCATAAATTGCCTCTTTACTATTGAAGTGTAAGAGAGGCCGCCTGTCAATAGAACAGGTAGCATTTATAAATAGAATAATCTCGTTAGTAGGAATTTGTTCAGGAATTATTCACTCTATAAATAAATTATAACAATGAATAAAAGGTTTATTAAGCGAAAATAATTGAATTTTATATAAAAATATTATAATAGCTCTTCTTGCTCTGGTTTAGAAGAAAAAAAAAGACAAAAGTTTTACCAATAATTACAATGAATGCACTTTTCAATAAATTTGCCGGTTTGAAGTAGGAAAAATATTTCATATTAACGAAAAATGGAAATTGAATAATTCAAGAATTCTTTGTCTTCAGTTTCAAAACTTTCTAATTCGTTTTCTTATAATCTTTCTACTTATTTTTTTAACTGTTTTGTCGAGAAAATCCGTTTCAGAATGTTACATTTCAAAAAACCTCAGCTAGACAAGCCGACGACTTTCAATTTATGCACGGAGAATTGAAATATTACTTACTTTATTATATCTTCAAAAGTCATACCCAACTTGACATCATCTAAAGCTCCATTAAGTCTTTTTTCCAATTCTTCACGATCGTAAGTATAATGTACGAATTTTTAGCTCAGATTCTTTTGAGTATTTCTTAAGCTTCCAAATGTACTAGACCGCAATTATTTTCGAACAAAGCTTTAAATGTTACATAATCTTGTTTATTTTTCAAATTTAATTTAAGGTCTGTTCGATTTTCTTGTTTTCGTCTTTAGCTTGTTTGAGAACCTAAATAATATTTTCAATATTTCTTTTAATTTCCCATTTATACATTGTTTTTTACAACTTACTCGAAATCATAAACTTGAAAAACGATCCTATGTGATTTTCAGTTAAGTCTACTTGGGTAGGCATTTTTTGTAAATTCTAAGCCATTTTTAGGAAGTTGTATTTTATGTATTTATGAGCAGCAAGAAAAAGACCTGTACAATATATTTATGATCAGCAAGAAGAAGACATGTACAATACATTTATAAGTATCAAGAAATGTAGCAATAACAATACA